ATTGTTTCCCATTTTCACGTTTTGTCTTAAAAAAATAATAACCTACCAATTTCTAGTAAAAGTCCTATTTAAAACATAAACAAAACAAAACCCCCCCAAACAAACAAAAAATCTTTTATTATTGCTACTTTTTATATTTACTTAGATTCCATCTAAAATGAGCTCTATTTTGCTTAAAGCATCAACTTTACGGCTAGGCAGGGAAAAAAAAAAAAATCATTCTGAACTCGGTAATTTCAAGCTAAACTGGGAATAATCTAGATGTCCTAACTAGGAGCTCTCTCTGTCATAGTTGCCAACTTCCAACTGTTTCAAACAAGTAAAGAAACTAATTCATTGTGATCTCTTACACTGTTTATGTAATATGAGTTAATTAGAATTATACATGAGCTGCAAAGTATATTCCAATAACCATAATGAAAAGATAATCTCTTCCATGTCATTCAAAAGTCTAGAAAAATGACTTACATTATGGTAAAATGTGAGCTCATAATAAAAATATTAGCACTGTGCAACTTTTAAAATTAGCCTGAAGTCATGTCAGAAACTAGAGGAATCTAAACAACAGCACTATCTCAATTTGATATGATTTATATAGCATAAGAGTAAACACCAGCATGAAATGGTATTTAAAACAACCCAAGTAATTGAAAAAAAATTTTTTTCTAATGTTTTTAAATAAAACTAAAACAAAAAATAAAATGACCCAATATTATATATTCACTTTCTGGATGAAGAACTTTTAAGATAAACATGTAAAAGACTAGGACCTGAAGAGAACTGGTCCCTTCTACTTGAGCCTGACAGCAGAGTCCTCCATCAGACTACAACCTTTCAGCAAGTTTAGCCTTTTTATACCATGTCATAGGGCCTTCAACTGTAAATAGAAAATAATTTTAATTAAGAAAACCATGGAATTTTGTTCCAGTGAAGTCCGGCTGCCCTAAGTACCTTTTTATTTTCCAGTTTCTTTTGTGAAATTGCTTCTCCCAAGTAAAACCAAGGTATAGGATAAATTAATGGAAATTTAAAATTGAGAGCATACTTAACTGAACTATATGACTATAAGTCAAGCAGGGTTTCATAAGACATAATGATATTTGCTCAATTCAAAGGATTGGAGAAAGGGCTGGACTTAAAATGAAACCTATTATGGATTAAAACAGGGACTTAATCTAGGTTGCTTTCTAAAACAACTAAATACTTATACTGTACTAAATACTTATGTTATACCTAAAACAATTAGGATTTTTTAAAATGCTTGTTGTGATTATGAGAACTGATAAGAAATTTCAGGATGAGTAACAATCTAGTAGAATTGAAAATCTTTGCAACTACCCAAACCAATCACTGAAAGTAAATTATAGCCCAGCCGGTGTGGCTCAGTGGATTGAATGTTATCCCATGGACTGAGAGGTCTGGTTCAATTCCTGGTCAGGGCACATGCCTGGGTTGTGGGCTCAATCCCTAGTGGGGGGTGTGCAGGAGGCAGTTGATCGATGTTTCTCCCTTACATTGATGTTTCTATCTCTCTCTCTCTCCTTTACTCTCTCTCTAAAAAAATCAATAAAAACATATTTTTAAAAAAGAAAGTAAATTATAAAGTCTCAGGAATACAATAAGGTATTTAAATGACGAAAGTCTCCCAAATAGGTTTAAAATATTAAAAACATTTGTTTTTACTGTACCTTTCCCCTATTATCTCCTACTTAGATATAAACTGTTATCATGTTTTATATTTTTAAATTTATTTTAAAGTATGTTTTTATTGATTTGAGATAGAGACAAAGAGGGAGAGTGAGAGAGAAACATTGATGTGAGAGAGAAACTTCGATTGGCTGCCTCTGGCTCATACCCCAACAGGGGATGGAGCTTACAACCTGGGCATTTGCCCCAACTGGGAATCGAACCAGCAACTACAAGACAACACTCAACCAACTGAACCACACCAGCCAGAGCTATTATCATCTTTTATATAAATGCTGGCTATTGGGATAAACAAAGAAAGCCTTCTAAAACTCCACTAGTAAGTTACACGAACTGCTTATTTTTATTTTGAATACAGGTATAAAAAGTAAAGAATTTTCTTTTCTCTGTCCTCCATTTTAGCTTTATTTCCTATTATGCTATTCATTTTTTAAGACTTGTTGAAGTCTCTAAGAATCTAATTTTTGCAGTAATATTTCACTTAAAATAATGGTGTGGGAACATCAATAGACTTGAAAACACTTTTTTCAATTACACTTTTTTCTTGGTCATCTCTCTTTTTAAAAAGGAATATTTATTGATTTCTAGAGAGAGAGAAGAAGGGAGAGGGAGAGAGAGAGAGAGAAACATCGATGTGAAAATGAAACATCAATCAGCTGCTTCCTGCATACCTCCTACTGGGGATCAAGTCCAAAACCCAGGCATATGCCCTGACCAGGAATTGAATCCAAAACCTTTGCATGCACTGGACGATGCCCAACCAAATGAGCCATACTGGCCAGAACAATGTAATCACTTTCTAAAATCCACATAAATAGCTCCACTCTTCTGATTAAACTCTCTAAACCATTTCATTAAACCAGTGAAAAATCATTCTGTTAAAATAGCTGTCATGTTTTAAAAATACATTGGGAATAAATATTCCAGTTAGAGAAGGCATTCCTTAAAAATATTTATGTTTAATTTTGTTGGAATGGGAGAAAGGACTCTCAGTCACCTGTATCCAGAGATGAAGTGTGACTGACATCTTTAACCTCCAACAAATAAGATGTTAAAAGTAGTTCTTGAATTCAAAATACATTTAGAATGCATAGAAAAAAAATGACCATGAATACATTAAATAATTAAAGAAAATAAATGAAAAAAATTATTTTCCTAAAACGTTTTTTTTCTACTAAGGCTTTCACTGTTTCCTTGAATATTAAAAATCACTTTTTCTTTTTTTTGATGGAAAAAAAAGAAAAGCATAAAAGTAAGAATTTGTTAAATAGTAATATTTGAAATTGAAGTTAAGGCAACCAGTTGATGTGTCTCTCTCACATCGATGTTTCTCTCTCTCTCCCTCTCTCTCCCTCCCACTCTATGTGAACAAAAATAGAAAAATATCCTCGGGTGAGGATTGAAAAAGTAATAAAATAAAATTGAAGTTAAGATTCAAGTGAAATGCTATTTTGCTATAGCCTAAAAGATTAAAAAAGCCAATGTTGTTTTAATTCATTAGCATGACTTACAAGTGAAATTCTCTAAAACATAACCAGAGAAATCAGCACATAGAGGATCAAATTTGCACTATAGGTGAAAGCACTGGGCCACTTAAAAACCAAAAGGAATAAAAACTTAAGCAGTTTCTTGCTACAGTGTGGGGAGCTGAACTATGACCAAATCATAGTTTAAATATAAATTTTGTTGGGTAAAAATTTAATAAATATGTGGAAATGAAAGAAACTCAGAAACCATAGTTATTTCCATTTTAAATGAGGATGCCAGTTCTGCACCACCAGCTGTTTATAGTTCACTGAATGAGGTTCTAGTTGATAAGAGATAATTACCTCTTCCCTACAGGAGGCAAGCGCTTCTCATTCCACAGACACCTCTGATGAATGGCCGTGGGAGTATGAGACCAAGACAGCATGCCAAGATCAGTTTGGTTTTTAATGATCTCTTTAAACACTTGATTTTCTATTTTTTCCTATTTAAGTATAAGAAAATGTGCATGTTAAATATACACATCCAGTCACTGGCTAATACTCTGCTTTTAACCTTAAAAGGAAAGTAGAATGACTACTCAGAAAGTATGCCAACAATAGTACTGAAAAGGACAGGCATGGTAATTTCAACTTGAGTGTTGAAGAATTCTACTTATAACATCGTTTCCCCCTGAAAACTGTTCTATCTGTAAGTTCCTCATCAGTTAATGATGCCTCCATTATCCCAGTCACTTCATCTCTTTAACCTACTTGGAAAGGCCTATCAATTCTATCTTCCCAGTCTCTCAAATTGGTCTCTTCACCGCCAATACAAACTGCTACATACCTCAACATTTCTCACTTGCTGTACAGTCCTCATATCCTAAATGATCTCCTCTAGTCTCTTCCAATACTAACACAGTTTAACCAAAATACTACTTTCAGATTAATATCACTGAAGGCACCACTCATCATGCCACTCTTATGTGTAAAAACTTTTCAAAAGTAGGTTGTGTCTCCAAAATAGAAAAAAGTTTATGGCAGATGAAGCCAAAAAAAAAACAACCAAAATTCAAAAGTAAGTCAATTCTATCCTCACAAATATGTAAGATTGGATATGAATATTAATAACTAAAAAGGAACAACAAAAAATGAAGAGAATATATTTAAAAGGGCTTAGGACTTGAGGTTTACCTGTGATTTTTATTTCCTATTTGTTGTTAAAATGATTTTTATGCAATAAGTGAAATATTTTGGTAACCACTTACTACTTATACACCATAAAGCTTAACCTGCACCTAAGGACCTCTGCAATCTGGCTCCCAAATCTACCCTTACTCAGCTTATTTTCTATCCCTCCCTTCACATAAGCCAAAATTCACATCATTTGCTCCAACTAGTCTGCTCTTCTCTTCCATTTCTGTGTGTCTAAATCCTACCTAGTTATCCTTTACAGTTTAGTTCAAATAACACCTTTTTCACAAAACTATCCCTAACATCTCTTTCCTCCACTGACGATTTCATCTATATCTCTTGTATGAAATGTGGAACTTTCTCTTTTGCATAGTAATTGTATGGGTGCGCGCGCATGCGTGTGTGTGGGCGTGTGTTTAGGAAGTAGTCACCTTTAGGGCAAGAGTCTTGTTTTAGCCATCTCTGTATTCCACTCAAGGCATCACAGAGAATGTGTATGAATAAACATGTAAAATTAGTAAGTTCTATCGAAAAGCAAGGAAGACTAAAAACCAACAGCAACTCTTACTTTTAGTTTTATTATGATTTTCCTTCTTTTTCACTCAAGTTTATTTCTTAACTTAACCTTCTTACCTGAAGATATGTTATTCTCCGCTGGACCAGTTCTGTCAAATCTTTGGCCTCTTTTTCCCGCCAATCACCTGCTCCATCTGTTTGACTGAGGTAGTATAGATCCGTCATTATAGACCTAAAAAAGAAAACAACATTGGAAGTCTTACTCATTTGTACTTATCACAGGATTACACAATCATAAGAAGAGAGTCAAATTCTTCATAAAGATTTATGCTCACACTGATGCTGATACACATCTTTTATTTTCTATCAAAGCTGTGAAATTCAACAATTAGTCTTACTGGTAAGAAAAACCTATCTCCCCCTGCCCCAGGCCAGTCAGCTGCACTTACTTCCCAACACAGAGCACTACAGACTCTAGGGAGAAGTGGATACCTATGGCAAAAAATAGTAGGCAGATTAACATAAGGGAAAGAAATTAAGTTGGTGCCAGTATTTGAATTGTACCTTTTTGTACTCTCTACTATCATTTCCTGTCCCCTCTTAAATCTTCTATTTATACTTTAACACTCAGTGGCTGGAAAAAGATCACAGAAAAATTTTGACACAACTCTTAAACAATGGTCTAAACCAAGGGTCAGCAAATACTTTTCTATAAAGGGCCAAGTAGTAAATATTTTAGGTTTTGTGTACCTCTGTTGCTTTTATAGCTGGAGAGCTGCCATAGACAATATGTAAAACAATGGATGTGCCTGTATTCCAATAAAACTTTATTCACAAAAATAAGCTACGAGCCATATTTGGCCATTGGGCCATAATTTGATAATTCTTAGTCTAAACTAATAAAATGATTAAGACATTTTCCCCATTTTTTGTGTAGCATCAGTAATTTCAATTATAACATGGTGGGTTTCCTACAGAGTAAACTAAAATACTCAGGACATTAACAAGAGAAACTTCAGGGCTGCTGCAGATGGTTTTATTTATAGAGCATTAAATAAAGCCATGACTTACATGTACTGTAAAAAAAGAACAAAACTCCACTCTCTCTATCAGCAAACATTTAGTCAATTTTCTGACCATGTATCACCACTGGCATTACTACCAGTGAGCACTGAACCATCAACTGAGCTACCATCTTTTCTCATCTGCATTATTTCAGTAGCCTTTGAATAGGTCTACACTCTCCTTCCGCCCTTGCCTAGCTCTACATTCTATTCTCAATAGAGCAGCCATAGCCTATTAAACGGTGAGGGTTACTCCTTTGCTCTTAACATTGAATAGGATCTTCATCTCACTCAGTCAAATCTAAAGTTATTACTTTGACCTACAAGGCCCCAGACATGTTCCTCCATTACTTCTTTGATTTCATCTCCTACTACTGTCTTCCTTGCTTAGTCTACTTCAGCCAACAACACTAACCCTTGAACGTGCCAGGCATGTTCCCACTTCAGGGCCTTTGCATTTACTCTTCCATCCCCTACAATGCTCGTTTCTCAGATAACCATCTTCATGGCTCACCCAAATGTCCTTCAAATCTTTGCTCATATATCACCTTCTCCCATAAGGTTTTCCCATATTATCTCACTTAAAAATTCAATACCCAATCATCATCACCATCCTTTGGTTTTCCCTCTGTCTTCCCTGCTCTATTTTCTTTAAGCTATTATCATTTTCTAATACACATCGTTACTTCTTTATTTTATCTTTGGATAAAACCCAACTAAAATATAAGCCCCATGAAGGCAGGGTTTTCTTTTTTCCACTGTTTTCTTTTAAATCATCATTTAGAATAGCACTAGCCACATAGAAAATGTTCCGTAAGTATCTTTGAATAGATAAGTGAATGATGAAAAAGTAGTAAAAGAAAAACTTCAAAAATTTTAATGAGATACTATTGATAATTTTTACCTTTCAGAAATCCAATTTTGTAGAATAAAAGTTTGGGGAATAATATTTAATTAGCTACAGCTACAGCTTCATCCCTCTCTACACTCTCCTCCACACTTTATGTTGACTCTTCTGTTCAAGGAATGCTTATGAGTATGTATATTTTGCTTGTGAAAATTATAAAGTTAAAATTTTATTTCTATTTCTCAGAAAAGTATATATAAAAATAAATCATATCATACATACAATTCTAGAAATCACCTATAAAATGGTATTAACTAAAAACATAAAGCATTAGCTGGAGGTTCAAAAAAATACTTAGAGAAAGTAGATCTGTAATGTTAAATAATATGAACAACAATGAACAGGTATTGAGCTCTTACTATGGGCCAGACACCTATTTTAGGTGCTTTACATTATTTCTGTAATCCTCACGACTACCTTATAAATTAGATAAGGAATGTGAGACACTGAGAGACTAAATAATCTGCTCAAAGTCATAAAGTTCAGAAATGAAGGGTGGGAAACTCAAACCCAAGCAGTTGATTCTAAAGCTTAGGCTTTTAACTACTGCATTAACAAACATCAAAGTATGGGATCAGGAGTACAAAAATATGGACTGTGCTCAATATAAATATGCAAAATCAGAAAGTCTGAATCAGAGGAGAAAGAACTTTGTGAGCTAGACAGACCTATTTCCCAATTTTGGCTCCAACTCTTAACTCTGTGTTATATGAAAGTTATTTTGACATCTCTAAAACTAAGTTACTTCATTTTAAAATAAGTATTATAGACCGGCCGGTGTGGCTCAGCACTGACCCCTGCACCAAGAGGTTGCTAGTTCAATTCTCAGTCGGCACATGCCCAGGTTGTGGATCCCTAGTGGGGGGCAGGCAGGAGGCGGCCAGTTGATATTCTCTCTCATGGACGTTTCTTTCTCTCTCTCCCTCTCCCTTCCTCTCTCTTTAAACTAAAAAAAAAAAAAGTATTATAAAAGCTTCCATATAGTTTTCTTTTCTTCTCTCTCTCTCTCTCTGTCTCTCTCTCTCTTTCATTTATTCATTCCTCACCTAAGGACATTTTTGCATGCATCCTCAGATACAGCGAGAGAGAGAGAGAGAGAGAGAAACACTGACGCAAGAGAGTCACATCAACTGGTTGCCACCCACATGACTCCAACTAGGGCCAGGGACAAACTGCAACCGAGGTATGTGCCCTTAGTGGGAACTGAACCCAGGTCTCCCTGGACTGCCAGCCGGCACTCTAACCGCTGAGCCAAACCGACCAGGGCTCCATATAGTTTTCTAAAAAATGATTATTATTTCCCAGCTGGTGCTCAGTGGTTGAGTGTCTACCCATGCACCAAGAGGCCACCGGTTCGATTCCCAGTCAGGGCACATGGTTATGGGCCCAATCCCCAGTGGGGGTATGCAGGAAGCAGCCAATCGATGTTCTCTCTCATCAATATTTCTATCTTTCGCTCCTTTCCCCTTTCTCTCCCTCTAAAAATCAATAAAGAAAAAAAAAATTTTAAATGATTAATGTTAATACACACAAAGTAGTAATGTATGTGATGGCTGCTTGCTGTAGACTGAATATCTGTGTCTCCCCTCAAAATCCATATCTTAAAAAAAATTAACATCCAATGTGACTGTATTAAAAGGTGAGGCCTTTGGGAGGTGTGTAAGTCATGAGGGAAGACCCAACTGAACATCCCCAGCCTTTTCCACCATGTGAGGACACAATGAGAAGGCGCTGTCTATGAACCAGAAAGAGGGCTGTCAACAGCCTCCAAAATCTTCAGATGCCTAGTTTTTGGACTTCCTAAATGCCAAAATTGTGGAAAATAAATTTTTGTAGCTTATAAACTACCCAGTCTTTGGTATTATTGTTATAACAGCCTGAACAGACTAACACATTGCTATCTATAATAGAATGCCTCAGAGTTGTTTCAGAACTTTTACCTTGTTTCTAAAGAGTACCTACTAATAATTCTACAACTAAGAGGAAGAATCCATTGGGTGTAAGTGACAGTAAGGCTAGTCAGAAAAATAACCCACAACCCACTGCCTTATAGCACCCTGAAGAAGGAGATTGATCAGTGAGGACTCAGCAGATGATGAAGCCAGCACTCAACAATGGCAACTTATCTAAGAGTACACGACACAGTCTCAGTTCTCTTTTATTCCTGGTTCTTAACTAGATGTTAAACCATTTAGTAACAAAACACCGGCAGTCACAGAAAAACTAAAGTCTTATTTACTATCATAGAATATCATTAGAACTATACACAATTAACATAAAATATCTGATAATAGTCCCTTTTAACAAAGCAAAACTATTAATAATATACAAGTATAATGAAAAATCTAGCCACAGTTTAGAATATTTACCCAACTAAGCAGAACAGCTTTCACAATGCTTTGGAACAACAGGGTCATCTGTGAAGCATTTCAGGCATTTGTTTAATGTGTCAACATTATCCATGCACAGGATACTTCACAGCTTTACTGTTTCCATGTGCACTCTTTCAAACAGGGCAAGAATCTAATATGTGATGCTTTATACTTTTTATATTTATCACTCTCACCTGAGATCTTTTTTTATGAAAAAGAGTAATTTTAGTTGGAGAAAAAAACAAACAACAACCTACAACTTACTGCCTTCTTAAGAAATTATCTTTCAGTCTTACACACACACTGAACAGAGGTTCAACTTTTAAGTTTTTCCAAATTACACAACTGAGGCCTGTGTGAACTATTATGTAGCCTATAGTTACTGGGGGGAAAAGTCACCACCCACAGAAAACTGTGAGTTGATCCTGGAAACACATAAACAGTCTTAATAATAATGGTTTTATAAGACTAAGCAGGAAGCTTATTTAAATTATCTTCTCAGTTTTATAAATCTCTTTCCTATAACTCTCATCACACTCATTATTATTTATATTTCATGGATTTCATCATATGCAAATGTGGTCATTTGCTTTTTCCTATCCATTAAGTAGAACTAATCACAAAACTTGTTCTAAGTCTCAACCTTAAATAGCAGTATTGTTTCTGGAAATACAGTAAAGTAAGATAAATAACCAGTCTATCAGCAAATGCCTTTTGAAGGAAAAAAAGAAATTCAATATATTCTGCATGGCTTTACATTGAACATATACATAAATAGAGACAAATAGCACTACATTTCATGACAATAATTATATAACTTCAAGCAGGTAAAAACTACATTAGATCTAATTTGGATAGAAAATTTCTTTGAAATATAAAAATTAGCATG